CACAAGTTTCAAAATCAATGTTCTAAAGCATCTGCACACGCTCTGCATCTCTCTCTCTCTCATTCAGCTCAGCTCCAACAATGAACTGCTCCAATTATACACTTATTTTAAACATGGATGCGCGTGCAGTTGCCGTACTGTATTAAAGCTTTAATCAGGATGAAACCGTATATTAAAAGCTAACATAAGCAGTAGCATTTACAAATAACAGCATATCTAAAAGTATGAGACAACAACAAACAAAAAACATAGGCCTATCATTAAAAGCCGTGCTTGCACAGGTTCTGCATGATCCTCTTCAATAATATCCTCTGCTTCTCAACCGGGCTCAAACTGATAAGCCATATTAATGACACCATTGTTTACAATACAGCCGGAGCACATGCAGTTGAGGTGAGGGGCGGGACGTTTAGACCAGCGCTAGAGGCAGTTTAGCCAATCACAACACACTGGGCTAGCTAACCAGGTTCTGAGGATTCACTGTTCACACACACAGGCGCTGACACGAGCAGGTCTCTTTTGGAGGTCATGTTAGGTTCTAGTGTGGACACCAAAGAGGGATTTGTTTAATTGACCTCTCTGTAAATATTTTGATGTTTATGAAATTTCCTCATTTTGTGGTCTTGTTGAAGAAACAGCTGCCCTTTTATTGTGATTGTAGTATAACCAATACATTTTGGGTTGATTTCAACTTTTATATATTTAACCCTACTAACATGACCCACAGTTTAATCCTTAAATAATTTTTTCTTACGAAAACCCAAATCGTTATCTCTTGAATATGTTGTTACTTTATTTTATGTGCAAAATTTTTCATCCACAAGCAAAACCGGCTTAAATCTCCTTTGTTTTCCTTTTCTTCTTAATTGTTGAATTTAACTCTCTTGTTTCATCCCTCCGGCTTATAAACAACAACAACAAATGCAGTATTTTGATGCATTGATTGTATGAATATTATGATTATTCAAAGATATTTAACCTTGTCATTGTGCCTTTTTTCTGTGTATATAATATAGCATCAGTAACTCCATAACCCTACCTAGTACGGTTTTCCTCAGCGTTTGCAATATTTGTAATATCTGCACAAAGGAGACGTCGATCAGCTGCTAGAAGATCTCGCCTTTGTAGAAGACTTAATTTTACACTCGAAAAATGTAAGTATTGCTACTTAAAAATTAAAGATTACCCCAGAATGCATTGCTAGCCCACCCCAACACTTATGAACAATAATAATGATAAATTCTGACCAATAATTTATTATATATATATATATATATATATATAAAAAAAAAATCTAGTAAAAAAAGCTAAATGTAATTTGTTTTGTCATATGCCATAGCTATGCATGACTACACACTAGACAAATTCAGCCAAGGTGAATACATCTCAATTTTCAGTCAAGTAATGAATTAATGCATAAGTTAATGAAACAATTATATTTTATTTACTGACAACAGGAAACATGAATAAATTAGTAAAAGAATAAATAAAAGTAACCATGACAATAAATAAATACAAGTCATTGACACATGAAACAAAGCTTTATTCAAACATATTGTTCTAACAAACATCTATTTACAGACGGTGAATCCACATCCTACTGAACACAAAAGGTAATTTTAGTTAAGTTTGTTCTGCTGGTTTCTGTTCATACAATATCAGTAAATGGAGACTGATTTTCAGAAGATTCATGACTTTATTTGATGATGCTTTTGAAGCTTCTGAAACTCGGGCTCCATTGACTGATATTTTATGAACAGAAACCAGCAGAACAAACTTGACCAAAATCATATCCTCAATGTCTTTTGGTCTTTCTCTAGATGGTCTCGCTGGCTCTGAGCTCACTGAGGATGAAGAGACAGAAATTGCCAGAGAAGATCAAAATGATTCAGAGAAGGCTAGGGAGAAAGTGCTGTGGTCAGATGAGACCGTAATTGGGCTCTTTGGCATTAACTCGACTCGCTGTGTTTGGAGGGAAAGAAATGCTGACTATGACCCTCAGAACACCATCCCTACAGTCAAGCACAGAGGTGGAAACATTATGCTTTGGGGCTGTTTTTCTGCAAAGGGTAGGCCTACAGGACGACTTCCCCGCATTGAGGGGCAAATGGACAGGGCCATGTACTGTAAAATCTTGGACGAGAACCTCTTTCAC